GTCCCCAAAATCCCCCAAAGGCCCCCAAATCCCAAGGCCTGGCAGCTTTTTTGGGGAAAAATGGCCCCGAAATGTGGGAAAAAGGGGGAAAATGGGGCTGGAGCTGGAACCCCCCTTCCCACTTTCCCCTGGTTTTATTCCAAATTTTCTTCAGGCTTATTCCAAAGTTTCTCAGTTTTTCTGGAATTATGCCCAAATTTCCCATTAACCTTTGGTCCTGTCAGGCCCCAAATAAGGGGGTTCAGCCCCCTCATCCCCACTTTTGGAGTCTTCCCACTTTTCCCTGGGATTATCCTAAATTTTCCCTAAAATTATCCCAGTTTCTGTGGGATTACCCCCAAATTTCCCATTAATCCTTTGTCTTGCCAGGCCCCAAAAAAGGGAGTTCACCTCCCCCTCCCGACTCAGAATCACCCTGGGATTATCCCAAGTTTCCTTGGGATTTTCCCACATTCCCTCCCAGGGTCTCCTTGTTTTTTGGGGGTCTCTGTTGATGGTGGGGGTCCCTGTCCCCCCCAGGCGAGTCTTGTAGGGTTTTTTGGGGGGGCTTTTGGGGGGTTTGGTTCATGATGGGGGGGGTCCCAGGCAAGTCTCCTGGGGGGTTTTGTGGTCTGTGCTGATAGGAGGGAGTTTGGGGGGAGTAAGGGGGTCTGTGCTGGTGTTGGGGGTCCCTGTCCTCCCCCAGCAAGTCTCTTGGGGGTTTTGGGAGGGTTTTGGGGTCTCTGTTGATGGTGGGGGTCTCTGTGCCCCCCAGGCAAGTCTCCTGGCCTGTGAGGGGCTCTCGGGGGTCTGCCTGGTCCCCACAGTCGCCAGTAAGAAGATGATGCCCAAGGCTGGAAAACAGGACGGGAACCGGGAAAGAGGCTCCAGCCCTGACCTGCTGGTATGGGATGGGGGGGAACCCCCTGGACTGGGGGGGTCTGGCTCTAATGGGAGGGTTATACCTTCAGTTGGAGGGGTTCTGGCTTTAATTTGAGTTTTTTTCTGCTTTAATTTGCTTTCTCCTGATTTAATTTGTCTTTTTACACCTTTGATTTGTGTTTTTCTGCCTTTAATTTGGCTCTTTCAACCTTTAATTTGGGGGTTTCCTGTTTTACAACTTAAAACTTAAGAAAAATGCAGGGTTTTCCACATTTAATCTGGGACTTTCTGTCTTTAATTTCAGATTTTCCACCTTTAATTCAGGTTTTTCTACCTTTAATTTTGGGGTTTGCTGGTTTAATTTAGCTTTTCCCTGCTTTTATTTGAGTTTTTTCTTCTTTAATTGGATCTTTTCCTTCTTTAATTCAATTTCATTTCCATTCAGTTGGACTTTTCCTCTTTCGTTGGGGTTTTTTATCCTTTAATTGGAATTTTCTATCTCTGATTTGCCTTTTCCTGCCCTAATTCCGTTATTTCCATTTGATTCCCTCCCCCCA